GGTGCGCTTTGCCTAAAAGGAAACTATGTAATGCACCAGGATAAGAGAAACCAAGGGTTGCGTCCAGCTTTGACTTATTCCCACTTCCCATTGTTGACCAAATATAAACCTTTCTTATCTACGAGGGAATAAAATATTTATAATACTTCCAAGACCTGTTTCTAACTATTGATTAAGGAGCATTATGTGGAATAACATCATGCAGTCATAAAGGAGAAGTAGAGTCACCCAAGAAAGATAAGCTGTCATTGTACTTATGTGTATTTACCCAATAAAATTTCTTTTCTCAACAGGGCTTACCAAGTGATGGAGTTTAGTCTGACTAAACTACTTACCACTTTTATCTCAAATATTCCATCTAAGTCTTTTCAAAGTCCTTGTTCAAATAACTTAACTTGAAAGGTCAATCAAATTATCATATAGGATGATAATTTAAAGTTGACCCAATTATTAAATAGGTTTCGCACATGTATTATAGTCCTTTACTTAAAAGAACCTATCAAATGGTAAATAGCATCTTACTAGGAGGAAAGAGTAATTTTCTGAATCAAGACTTACATGGATTGAAACTATTATTAAGTGGGACATAGCTTGAGATTTCTTGAAATTTTAATCTTGCAACAGATTTATGAAATAGAAACATAGAAGGAACTGTTAAATTGAAGAATACAGGCTTTGAGCTCATAATAAGCCCAAACGGTTGGAGTACTTGAGATGATCCTGTAATCACCTGGCTTAATGCAGTCTCTTCTACAAACTTATCTTGACATTTCATCTATTTTGCTCTTGGCTTTCTCTATGCCTCATAGTTAAATATATTGCCTCAACCAAACCAAATATCTTTCTGTTCTTTTTTATGGTAAGCCCATCATTATACTTGCATTTTATTCTATTTGATTTTTGCCTTTCTTTATGCCTCAATAGTTGAATAGGTTCACTATTGCAAGGCGATAGCCTTTTCTCTTTTTCTAGATGGCTTTTCCTCGAGTGCAGGGGAATTTGGAGGATGCCAACTGGTTCTCAGGTTATGACTGGTCACTTAATCGTTTGTAATTCACTACCCGGTGATTTATCATCAACTGAGTGGGGTTTGGCACTGGGTGAACATCTGATTACAAAACTCTGTCAAATCTTCATGGAGCCTTGCTTGATAGCTGACCCCTTGTCATTGGGGGAGGTTTTAAGTTGTGCTTATTTCCTTTGGACACATGTGACATGTCACTCCAAAAGATTCATTTGTATCACAAATCTTCTCAATCTTTTACTTTCAGTAGGTTTCATAAATTTGTATCGTCCATTTACAAAATTATCTTTCATTTTTGTGCTAGTTCTTTTTATCATGAGGGTAACAATCCCACACCCTCTTCGCCCTCTCTTCTTCACAGCAGTCACTGGTATTGGTCCTCTGTCATCATTGTGATACATTTCTGCACTGTTGTAAATAGCGGCTGATAGCGGCTGATAGCGGCGCTGTTGCGGCGCAAATAGCGGTAGTAGAGTCTATTGCTACGATTTCACTGATTGCGGTGAACAATAGCGTTTATGAGCATTTTTCGCTTGCCAAAGCGGTCAAAAGCGCGAAATAACCGTAAATAGTGGCAAATAGGGGTAAATATTACTCATTTATCTATGTTTGAAGACTTCATTTTTATGTTAAGTTTCAAATAGCTAATACGATTATGTTGCTACTGATCAATGTTTTTCTATTGTTGAGAGATTTTCTATTAGAGACTTAAAAGTTAGAAAGAATGGTACAAGTAATGGTCTTTTTGATAAACATGTACGTTTTTTTCATTCTGTATACTACTTTTGTTAATATTATGTGATTGTTACATGTCTTTATTATGCTTAGGATCTCTATAAATCATCAAATATGCATTTGTAGAATTTTTAGATTTTTCTTTTTTTGGAATATTTATACATAATTAAATTGGACTGCTATTTCACTTTATACTTTTGTCGCTATTTTGCTGCTATAACCCTGAATAGCCTTAATGGTGCCTCACTGTTGCACAACGCTATCCACTATCGGTTACCTTGCATTTCTGTTTCTCGAAGTCCATTTCACCATGTTGTTTTGTTGAATATCTCTTTTTTCTGTGTTGTATTGGATAAGTCCTACCATTTTTCTATCGACATCATTGCTTTTAGCATCATGTAAAATCGGCATGTCATCATGCACTTGCTGGGTGCTCTTAAGATTTTTTTTTTTGTCTTGGTTTCCTGGTGATCCATTCAATAGGAAATGGAGAAGACACTGAAAAGAGGTTCCCACATCACGTTTATCATACTATATACTGTTTTCCGTACTTCTCTTAATATCACTACTTTCTGTGAGGTCAAAATCGTCTCCCTGAATACATTATTGATGAGAGCAAGTAACTTCAACACTTCCATCATTTTTTATAAGGATTCATTAGTAGCAAGAGTTTAAATGACAATGAATTGTTTTCTCACATATGTTTGTTTTGCTATGAATTTTTTTTCATATGAATGGCTGCGATTATTTTGCTTGGAGACTGAACCTTAATTCTTGCAGTGTGTTACAAAGTTGGGTGGACAGACCTGGGGCAGAAGCTACTGTTGTTGCATGTTTAGATAGATTATTCAGAACAAAATATGGTGCCTCTCTCCTGCTGCAGTATACTGTACGTAACATTTCTTCAGAACTGCTACTTTTTTACTCTGTATTTGGGCTTTGGTTAATTGACTATGTAATAGATCTTTTACGGGTTTTCAGCTATTTCATTTGCGTTGCCAGATTTTGAGGATTGTCGTGTTTATACTTCTTCATCTCTCAGTTCTGTGTTTCATCTCTTTGGCAAATAGAAGTTGCATATATAAAACCTATACTGAATTATTGAAGGTTATCAAGCACTAATCCTCTTGATTATTTAGTGAGTTTAGTGGCCTTAAAACAGATCATCATAAAGTATAACTCATTATACAAATGGATGTTAAACTTTTTTGAATCAATCTAGAAATATTGAGCAATGTCTTCTAAATATGCTGTACCAAATAAACATAAGCATGTGAACGTTGAAGAATAAACAGAAAAGAGTTATGGAGAATGGCTGGGGCTTGATGGACTAATGATGTGAAGCACAGAAGGTTCTCAGCTTGGAGGAATTGCATACCTAGAAATTTAAGTCCAAGTTTCTTTGGTCCACTATGATTGAGATCCCACTTGCTGAAAACTCATGACTACTTTAATCAGAAATAAAGTCCAAAATCCGTTTCTATCCCATTTTGACCAGTTTCTTGTGTGTCGTATAATAGATCATTAGCTGGTAGCAGATTTGTTTTGTTTCTTCTTTCGTGCTTAGGGGCACACTTCCATCTTTAAGTAGGTCAAAATTCAGGCACGTGAACTGTGGGGATTAGGAATTCTGGGCAAGCTTCTTGATATTCTACAATATTTTAAATACTTGTTAGCTATAAGCGCGAGTATCTCCCATAAAATGAACTCGGGTAGCTATGTTTTTACTGGACCATTATCTATATACCAATCTGCAGTGCTATTTGTTAATATTGGACTATTATCCATATATGAATTTTATTTTATCAAATAAGGTTACTGGGTAGTAAGTTACATTTCCAGATGTGGATCTATATCTGCTAAAAAAGAAGAAGATTATTAAGATATCTGACCTATCTGAATTCACTGTTAATGTTATTGACAAGTAGAGCATTCTCATGTCCACTAGAAAAAGGGAAAAAGGAAAAGAAGGTACCCTACTTCCTTGAGGTTTGGTTTAATGGATTATTCTGTTACAACTCATATTCCTTGATCACCATTAATAGGTGCAAACACCTTTTCTGAAGTAATATACACTCCTTATCCCATATGTTGTCTCTTACTGGCATTTCTGATTGATATGAGTAAACAAATGAAAGCAGTTATGCTTCAAAAACAGTCTATGAATAAGTTTGAAGGTTATTGTATATCCGAGGGAGGATACTATACTAATAAAATGATTCTTGCCTGTCATTTTTGTTTGAAATTGTTCTGGGCTAATTTTCAACTGTTTTCTTGTTAGTTGAAAGGCTTACTAAGGTTTAATCACATGTGGGAGAGAGATTGGCAATGGTATCTTTGGAAACCTTTTCTCTGTATGAAGTTGACGGTGTTAGATAAATATTTAATAATTTACTGATCTGGAAATGAACTTAAATCCTCTCTTATATTATTAACTGCAAATAAACTCATTCTCTTATATTAACTTTTCTGTTGCAGTCCTTTCTCCAGGCTGGTCTGCGAGCTAATTCACATACTCTCAGATGTTTGGCTTGTAAATCTGTGAGGGTTCAATCTTAACTTGTCTTTACTGATGAAATTATAATTATCGGTCTCTTAATTCCTTTACTAGCTCGAAAAGATATGTCACTGCTCCTAATTTTTACACTGGGTTTCTTTTGTGGTTGGCATGCTCACCAGCATTACCTTGATGCAGCTCTATTATGATCTATGTACTAATCTATTCTATAAGTGTGATTCAGTGGTTGTCCCCACTTTGGTTCCATTGTTCGAGAACTTTTCATTTCTTCTGTTTTAAAAACATTGTCTTATCATACTATATTCACGTGTATAATATTGTCTATCATCTTTGAATCCACAGTGTTAAATTCTAACTATGTGACAGCCACACTGGAAGCATTTTCCGTTTATAACCATAATTCATCTAAGTTTTTGGTTTATCATCATAAAACATTAAAATACCATGAGCCGAGATCATTTCCTAACGCCTATGACCATAAAATAGATATTGTATGAAACTGTCTGGTACTACCATTATTCACTACCATACATGCGAAAGGTGCCTATGAAAGTGCAGAAAATGTATATATGGACTAGCTTAACTTTCTTCTAAGAAAAATTCTCTCTTGCGATTGGGCAATACAGGTTGTCCGACAACTCAACACTGCAATGCACTTATGCAATAGGATGGAATCATTCTTGATAGCAAATTTGTCTTCATCATTTACCAAAATTTACAGATTTAAGTGTCATACACAATCCAACTTTTCAGTGGATTTATTATTTTTCTTTTAAGAAAAATTCTCTCTTGAGACTTATTAGCAGTTTATGATTTTATCTTTTTAATTATTTGCAATGCTTATGTCAAACTTAAATCGCACCAGGTTTCTTATATTCTCGAGAATGCTGAAGATAGAGGAACTATTGTGAAGACCATTGTTGGATTTGACATATATTCACTTCTAGTTGATTGCCTAATTGAAGGGTATGATGAATTCTCTTTTCCTAAATTTATTTTTTGTCATTTGTTGTGACATTCATGTGTGACATGGACGTGTTTTTTTGGGCATCATGTTGAATTTTATAGCAATTCATCCTCGACAATGAAACCAGAGCCATGAAGGGTGGAAGATTTTAAACATGCATGTACAAGAACTTTCCTTCCTGTAACCAAAAGCAGAACTTAGTTCTCAAATTATGACAGCATATATATAATGCATTTCCCCGTATTGCAAGAATTTAATGGGCCTTATTCTTTTTCACATCCTAGGATGCATATTATGATGGTCCCATGTCAACATTTTCTCGTCCTGTGATATTTTCCATGTCTTATCTGATTCATTTTACATTACATTTTTTGCTACCAAAGGTCCACAATGTTTGGACCAATCTTTTAGCATATTCTTATAATGTACACAAATATGCATGATGGTTTTGAATAATGATAGTAATAGAGAAGAACGAGAAGCATGAGAGGTGAGCGGAAAAGTTCGGGCAATATCCGTTCATGCATTGCAACTTCTACCTTTGGTCATATGTTTTTCCTTCAGTGTAAGTAGTTTAAGTGCATTGATTTTAAAGGTTTAAATTTAGTGCCCATTGCTGCAGTAAAAGTTGATTGCTCACTGTATCAAAATTGGCAGCTTTGTATGGCGTTTTCCCTCTTTGCTAACGATGTTTCATTAATTGCACAATTTAGCTCACTAGCCAAGACCTCTGGACAATAAACTTACCATAATGTTCATCTTGCCTTAACATGCAACTGCAGACTTGACACCATGGTCTTTCTCTAAAAAATAGCTATTGATGATACTATCCAAGGATTGGTATTATAACATGGAAGACATTGTACAACCTCCCATTGCCACCTGCAGCGCTCTTCCTTACAAAGACCTGCTTCACCCCCCAATCATCAAGCCTAATAGTCGTTTATCCTTGGCAGAAGGATTGCTCGACTGCTGGCTGGGTTCCTGAGTTGTCTCATGCATTCTAGAAGGGGCACCCACTAGATTGTTGTGTGGCTTCACAACTTACTGCTGTGTAATTGTAGCTGGAGGTGGTAGCACATTTGTCTGACTGATATTGTTCTATTACCAGTGTATTTTAGTGCTTGTGTACACATGATAACCTAGAAAATTTCTTGAATATAAGTTTTAATTCCTGGTGAACCTCGAGACATAAGTTCAAGATCCAATTAATGCTGCTAAGTATAAAAGATAACCTCACAATATGTACAAGCGATGTTGAAAATAATAAAGATGGGTTATGTAATGCTTGACCTCCTTTTAAGAGTTAAGGCAAAAAATACAGAAAAATGTAATGCATAACATAGGGTATATTGTTCATTAATTATTTAGATTTTTTATAAATACTAACAATTCATAATAACTTCAATATTTAAAATCATCAAACTTTTCAAACATAACATCACCATTATCAAATATAAAAATATAGTATCACAATTTCTTAACAAATGTTAGTCACATATGACTAACAACTTAGTCATATGACTCATATATAACTAACAATCATTCCAAAAAGCATCATCAGATGATCAAATACGTTAACGTTGTCAAGTTTAAGGCAATAAAAGCGTGTCTAAGATAAACTAAACACTTCTAACTCTCGAGTTCTTTAACTTCACAAAAATATTTTAATTCCTAATCAAGTTCACTACATCAACCAAACTAAACATGATTGTGTAATAACAGTAAGAAAATTTCCATGTACAGAGGTTGCGGGCATACTTAACTTCACAAGAGCTAGTATTAACTAAAAAATAAAAGCTAAAACCTAATAAAAACCAGGTAATAACTAAAAGTAATTAATCTCACTAACATAAGTAATCCACTAATTAATCTCTGTACTCTAATTCTGTGACAGATCTTAAAAATTTATGTTGAAGGGTAAAGTAATGGAGCAACAAGTTTGATATGATTTAGGGTAGATTGGCGATATAAAAGATTAGAATTTGGAAGGTGATTTCAGAATCACTATTTATTTAAAAGATATAAACTGTGATGCCCCATATATAACTTAAAAATAAAAAATTTAACTCGCTGGAGTCGCAAAAGCCGCTGATACCCGGAGAAGTTTCAGAGGAGGCAAGGAGCTAGGATTTGAGTTGGAGGAGACGAAGAGATCGCATATTCATAGAAAGAGAATAGGGTGATCGGGACTAAAAAAGATAGGGTTTAAATGATTTTGATGGTGGAGATGCAACCACGCATCCTAGTTAGAGATGCAATTTAACCTAAAAAACCCCATGTCAACTGGTTATATAACATAACACATATTCAACACAATATAACATGTTTTTTTTCTTGAGTTAAATAAATAGTTATAGCGTTAAATGAGCGTGTTACCTAACAAGAGGACACTGTTAAATTACAAAACGGGTTATAACGGGTTATCTAACCGGTTTTTTCAACATTGCATAGAAGTGCTATAGAATTTTAACGGATTAATTCTAACACATGCATCTGAAATAAATTATAAGGTTTCTATTTTTTCCAGCACCACTATTTAGAGGCTTAATCTTCATCAACTACGTAGACCTTGAACCATAACATTAGTCATGAAGATGCTCGTCCAAAAGGAGTCCATAGAGAAATATGTTGTCTTTGGTTGCTTGGTTTTGCTTTTCCATGTGCCTGGATTAAAAAAAGCATAAAATTTTTTCCAGGAGTCTAAAACAAATGTTAAATGTGTGATATGTGGGTCGCTCAACGTAAGAAAGATCTAATTTTATTGTGTCTAGGACCTCTTTGGACATTCACACAGGGCGATCGCGGGATTCATTCTTACGATCTTCCTCAGTGCCTAATAATAGCATTTTCGGGCAATATATAAGCATGAAGAAAGCAATCCTGAACCCAATAGAATAAGGAGCTACCAACAGACTCGAGAACCTGTAATGTCAAGAACTCTGAGTTGATTGAACTGTCCGGATAGCGTATACATAATGGATTTACCTGGACCAATACACGATATACTTGTAGTATTTCTAGGATTATTTCTTACATTAGGAGGTCTAGGAGTAGTATTATTTACCAATCCAATTTATTCTGCCTTTTCATTAGGAGACATGACAAGGTCCTCATTGAGGGAATACTTTGCTCGAACAACTTGCGCCCAGATAGACGAGGGTTGGGACAGTGCTCTGCCCAGGTTCTTCGCCAACAAATACGTGTGCCAAGGCTTGAGGCAACGAAAACCCAGCCCACCCCTACTCGCCCTTTTTTTTATAAGGCTTTCGCATTTGGCTGAGCAAACACGTCATTCCATTATGGACAATCAGGAACGCGGCGGCACCATGGCCATATCGAGCTACCCGCCTAATGAGTCCCTTTCTTTCCATGATCTCGTGTCGCCAAACTCTTGGATTCGCTTTGCCTTTATCGGAAAGTCGCCCTTCTTTCACATGCTGATTCGTAAGTGGCTAATCCATTCCGGATGGAGATCCCGGTTCATTCCTTTTTGCAGCAATAAAGGGCTTTTTGAAATACAGTCCTTTCTTCTTTCTAAGACGGATCCAAACTTCTTTGTTCTTTCTAAGTCTTCCTCTTGCATAGAAGAATGCAACTCTTGCAAAAACCGGGATTAGCAAACCAATGCCTTAAGCCACTCAGCCATACCTCCAAGTTGTTAATCGGAATTGGATGCGCCGGGAAAAAGCAATCATTGAGAAGATCGAAGAAAATGAAACGCACGTAGTGGTCATGGCTGCATTGGATTCATATGCTAGTTTAGTGTTAGCTTCTCTTCTCCCTCTTTTGCAAGTGTATATTGGCTTGTACCAGAACATGGTCCAAACATACCCTTTTGCATAGTTAATTTTTTTCCAATATATTAATAAATATGTTGTGCAATATTCTGATGTTATCAAAATAAGTATCTTCTATGAAATCTGTGCCAAACTTCAATAGGCCAATTTCTTAGACAGTGGGCTCTGGTTCTTATGAATTCTCCAACATGTTTCCCATATACTTTTGTAATCAATAATGAAATCCATGCTTATAGTTCAGAATATATCTCCCATTTAATAAGTTCTGTTTACAAACTTAAATAAACCACAGTGCAGTGTTACTCTTCATACATTAGACTGTGGTAGTATTAGCGTATCAACATTCAATGGTCCAAAAATCTGCATAAACTTCACTGTTAACTGCAACCTCGTCTTTCTCTAAGCACCGTTTATCAGTATACTTGATAATTGATACATAACATAATTATATATGCACATAAAGATTTGAATGCATGTATTTGTACATGATTCTTCATGCACATGTATTTTTATTTGTATTGCAGAATGAATCCTTTTTTCTTATCTCGTGCAAGTACACGTCCCATATTGAATCTCAGATCTAATTAGTGAATTCTTACCAGGTTCAGTGGGCAATAACTGTTTGTTCCTAAAACCTGGCCGACATATCACTGCAAACTAGGTTATAACATCTTTAGTTCTTTACGTTCAAGACTAATATCTGATTTGTCATCAGTAAACCTAAAATATTGTGCCAAAAATGAGTTTCCTTTTATTTTATTTATTTTATTTTTTTATTCTGGATTTGTGACTCGTGAGAGCACATCCTTAATACTGCAGACGACTAGTCTTCGTATCGAGTAGTCAGCAATTTATTTGCAATCAATTCTTTTTTAAGTGTTTTGTATGTATTGCATCCTTTTGGTGCTTTTGTTGTAGGACATTCTAATCTATGTCTTCTGTACGATGGTTTCTGGCTTTCCTCTTCTATTTTAGTGCTAGTCCACAAGTATTTCAACCAGTTATATCCTTGTGTACATCTCTATTATGTCACAGCAATGAAGAAACTTCAGCAGCAGCTTTGGGTGCCATAAAGAATATTGTCCAATCTCCTGAAGGAATTGTAAGGGTTATATGTCACTTCAGCATTCGTTTCATTTCCAAAACATGTTCATGTCTTGGTTAGTAATAGTGAAGGTATGGTTTCTGCATAGGATGTCATCTTTCCGGCAAGCACTCAAGAATCTGTTCATCTTGAACATGTAGCATCTCGTTGCTCTTCTTTGGTATGATGTGCATTCTCTTGAACTATAGTTGTAAACTTACTTTTCAAAATTTTTCTTGATTATCTTTTATTTTCTGTCAGTTACAACTTTAAAGTTACAATTACTGTAATAACCTTTTTTTAAATCATGTGCTAATTCTAATTTGAATTTAAGCTTTACCCTACTGCCTTCTGAGCCTTCATGTGTGTGTAGAGTAAAGCTCCTATAAACTTAAGTTGATAGAAATACTTGTTCAGCAACTTTCTTATCCATTAGACAGACTTGCTTTGAGATTTGTGCAAGACATGAAGGGTATCTTTGAGATATGTGCATTGATTTTCATCACAAGCTAGCACAAATCTTAAAGCTCCAATATGGGTAGAAATACTTGTTCACCTTCTTTATTTGCTTTGAGATTTGTAAGACATGAAAGATATCTTTGAGATATATGCATTAATTTCATCACATGCTAGCATAAATCTCAAAGCAAATCTACTGGATAAAAAAGTTAGTGGACAAGTGCTTCTATCTACTTAAGTTTATAGGAGATTTACTCTCTCTGTGTGTGTAGAGAGAGAGAGAGAGAGTGCTTGTGTGTTAAGCTACTATCCACTTTAAGTGGATAGAAGCTTTTGTTCATCCAACTTTTTAACCGTTGGGTGGACTTGATTGATCAAGATTTGATCAAAGCTGAGTTGTCATCATTAAATGAGCGAGGGGCAGTTTGGTAACATTATCCAACATAAAATAAGAGACAAAAATTTCTCTAATCTTAGCCCCGTTCACATCTTCTATTTCCCTAATCTCTGTAGCAAAATAAAATAAAATATTGGCACTCCTCTTGGCTTGGGAGGTTCACCAAACTTTATGGCAAACTAAAATTTTCCATTGATTTCAACAAGGACAAACTCCCAATTGAGTTTAGATATCTTATAGACACAAACTAATTGAATCTATTTACAAATCTTATAAACACTAACTAATTGGGATTCAAGTTCAATGTTTGGGAAATTATGGTATTCATGTTCGTTGTTTGAGAAACTATTTCTTCTCCATTCAGTAGGCGGTGCTTGGCATACAAGAACTAAACTGAAAGAAGGGAATTTATTGTTGTGCCTTCTACACATGGATGACCAATTTTCACATTCTAAACATGTATAAACAATTAGACTTAAACAAGAGGGATCCTAAAGGGCATTCTTAGCAACTAAAGACCAGAACAAAATGCATGCGTGGAAAGCTATGTTGTTTCATCTAATGCATGATTGAAAATGTGATAAAAAAATTTCCCCTGGTTCAGATTTAATTTCTTGGTGGAATTGTGCTAATACAATGCTTATCCTCCCTTAAGATTTGGAAGCTTAAATAGCTGCTTGAGGATTTATTATTCCTCCCAAAAGAAAAGAAAAAGAAAACATTGAATGGACTCTGGTTGCGAATGGGGACGCCGTTGCACTCTCGCTATGTGGTACTAATGTTTTTCTTTTCGTCTTTGCCGTTTCTGAGACTAGAGAGAGAAGGGACAAATAGGATATTCACGTTTCTTTTTTTGTTTCATTTTATCTTTACAAAGCTATCCTTCCCTCATTAAATGATGACAACTCATTTTTGATTAAATCTTAATCAATCATATCCATCCAACAGTTAAAAGTTGTATGAACAAAAGCTTCTATCCACTTAAGTGGATCATAGCTCAACTTTCTCTTTCTCTCTCTCTCTCTCTCTCTCTCTCTATATAAACACATGCTTTGTGAGGGCAATAAAAAGCAAAGGAATGAAGGACATTTTCTTCTTGCCTTTACAATTTATAGGGTGTACTTGTAATTTCATAAGAATACTTTTTATCTTTCTTTTCTCTTTCCTTCTTAAGAACAATCTAGATCATCTAATAATATGAAAATTTTAGATCATTTTTTTTTCAAGGATACTTTTTCACTTTCTTTTTCTTTTCTATTTCCTTCTTCAAAAATTCTAGATCATTTAATGACATGAAATTCTAGATCATCAACCTACTACTACTATATAATGGAAATAGCAGGGGTAGCAAAAAATGAATGAGAGGTGGATATTTTCTCCATTCCTATTGTATTTGGAACTTGGAAGGGTAGAATCATAATTTTATAGTAGTATTTTTTTCCTTTCTTTTCTTTTCTCTTTCTTTTTTAAGAACTTTCTAAAATATTAACATGAGCTTGTTATTAAGCTCACTAATAATATATCTATGACATTGCATATTATAAGAGATATAAATAGGAAATGATAAAATTCTTTACCAAAAATGGATAAACATAAATACAATTAGAATTTTAATATGTTCCAATGTAAATATTATTGAAAGCGCATATCTAGATATTTAGGCTAAAAATAATTAATATAATAAATTGAAGAGATAATATAAAAAAAAGACTTCTAAATAATATTATTTAGGACATTATGTCGTCACTCAAATTGAAATATTTTTATCAGTCAAATAAGGCAAATAAAATATAGCATATCAAACGAAAAAACATTATAATGTGATCTTACAAAAACTGATGATACTTTAGGGTATTAAAGCAACCTTTTATGTAAAAATTAGAATAATTAAGTTTTAATTTCCATTGCACGTACATTTGCGCATTCAATGATTCTGGTGTATACTATTTCTTTATATATGATGTAACTTACAAATACGTGATGTCGACTTCTTGGGATTTGCACACTTGTTGCCTACTCACTAGTTTAAATTATTACTCGTACACACTGAAATGCACTGTTATTGATGACTATAGGCTTTGGTTGAATAATGCACTAGTTCAGAGTGACTTAGCACATTAGGTTCCTGTTACAAATTGTTAATGCTTCAAACAGATCTTCTATCGACAAATTTTGGAAGTTTCTCTTTTCTCTCGAACATTTATAGATATAACATTACTTGAACTCCAAACCTTGTTGTTTTTAAAATTTTAGGCCTCGAAAGTTATAAAGGAAAGGCATAAGAGCCTTGCTGAACTATATATTAAAGGCATAAACTTCTACAAATTTGCCCAAAAATGTGTATGGCAAGTGCATGAATAGAAGGTCGCATTCACTATTCACTACATTTCAAAGGTGATATATAATATTAGCGTCGTCTCCTCAACCATAGGGATTGCTCATGAGAGTTTGCCCAAGATGGATCTGGAGAAGTAACGTGGTTGAATTTTAGATGTGGCCCATATGGGTGTATAGTTTTGAAACAAGGGAAATTCTGAAGAAAGTTGTGCTTTTTCAAACTTGGAACCAGATATCTCAATAGAAAATGGCTATAAGAATAGGTGGAGTACTGGAGAGATGGACATTAAGATACTGGAAGCACAACAAATAAACTCATGTCAATTCATTATGCTGCACTAGGCTTCAATTTTTCATGTAAATCTTTTTGATGAAATCTAGTCGTCTTGGAAAAATCTAGAATAGAGTAGTTGACTGATTTCTCAGAAGATTATTACTATTCTATTTTGTTAGAATTAAGTATTGGGTTATCGGGTTAAGACCCAATATTCTATTACCCATTTGTACTCCTATATATTTAGAGCCATGAGGAGAAACCCTAATATGATTCTGATTTACCATTTCAACATGGTATCAGAGCCATCACCCTCCAAACCCTAACACAAACAAAAACGATCTGTACCTGCAGCGACAAAAGTCCGACTGCTACTCTGCGCCGAAGCCACCCTGCCGCTTGTATCCTCGCCATCAGTGCTCGTCGATGCTAGCAACGCCAGATCCGTCGCTCCTCGAACTCGCAGCGCGCAGATCTCTCATCCTCAGTGCTCGCCGCCGTCTTTGTGCTCGTCGTCCAAGCTCGCCGACTCCCGCCGACGCCAGATGCGTCGCTATCCAAGCTCGTCGACAGTCTGTTCCTTTCTTCTCCAAGCTCGCCGACGCCTGTTCCCTTCTTCTCGAAGCTCCCCAACCCCAGATCTAGTCGCCGACGCCGCCCTTTGTTGTCGTCGTCTGCCGTCGTTGTCATCGTTGTCGTCTGTCTTTGCCTCCGATCCCCTTTTCTTTTTAAGTTGATGTATTTTTTTGTTGTTTGGGTTTGGGCCTTTTTGTTGAGCCTGATTTGTGAAAGGAGAGGAGTGATGTATTCTTGACGAGGGTTCTTGATGAGGGTGTAAGAGCCTACAGATTTCAAAACAAAAACAAAAACAAAAAAACAACTATAAGGAACTGGGGGGAAAAGAGAGATTTGGGGAGAAGATAGAGATTTGATGAGAGAGAGATAAGGTCACGGAGGGGATTAAATGCAGGTTTTTTTTGAAAAAACCCCTGCAACGCACGAAAACGGAGAGCTGGCAGTGCATACACAGTTTTCTCATATATATATATATATATTAAAAAAACCTAACATTCGGGTTCTTGAAAACTGACCTTCGTGTTTTCTATTCTAATCTTCGGGTTTCTGAAAACTGACCTTCGAGTTTTCTATTCTAACATTCGGGTTCTAATCTTCGGGTTCTATTCTAACCTTCGAGTTTCTGTTTTAAACCTTCGGGTTTTATACAAGAAGATTGTGATCCTCCTGCTACTGTACTATCCTGTTCTGTAACAACGATAAGATCTGACATCTCTTCTGCTGCTATTACTACCCTATTACTGTTGAGATCTCTGCCCCCAAAATTATATTGGAGACCACGGTGAAGTTAAATGACAACAACTATCTACTTTGGGCACATGTCTTTCGCATCTTTATTGGTGCTCAGAATAAATTAGCTCATCTTCTAGCCCCACCTCCCGCATCTACAGATCCTACGTATCCCGTATGGATCGCTGCTGACTGCTGTTTGATGACTTGTCTTCTTAATAGCATGGAAGCCCAGATTAGTAGCAGTATCATGTTCTTGAACACTGCTAAGGAGATGTTAGATAATTTAAAAAATATGTACGGAATGAGAAAAATGCATCCCGTGTGTTCGAGTTGTATGAACGCATTTTTTCTCTTCAACAGGGCGATCGCTCTGTACCTGAATACTTTGGTGAGCTGAAAAATCTAATCGATGAATTAGAGATGCATCAGCCCGTCGTTACGGATACACCAACTCTGTTAGGATATCATAAGGACCTTGCAGTCTCCAAGTTCTTGTCAGGTCTGAGTCCCACTTTATAGTCTCAGATACGAGGCCAAATACTCGGGGGAGATACTATCCCTTCCTTGACTGTTACGTTCTCCAGAGTTATGCAGGTAACTACTGGAGTGACTATTGCATCTCTCACACCGACCGTTCCATCATTTGATCAGTCTGCTATGTTCTCCGGACGTGACAGAGGTCGTGGTCGAGGACGTGGCCACGACACAGGGGGAGGACGTGGCACCTTTGGGAGACATGTTGACTCAGATAAGACTTTGCGTCAGTGCATACATTGTGGAAGGACTAATCATATCTCTGAGAAGTATTGGGAGAAGTTTGGTCGCCCTGCATGGGCCCAGATTGTTGATATTACACATACTTCTGTTGATTCTCTGTCAACTATTCCCTCCACTGTTTAGATTTTGCAATCTGAGTATAACCGGTTGCGTCAACTCGAGTCCTCTCAGAATAGTCATTCTGCTACTCATGCATCCTCTTCAGATATGGATGCCTATATTGCTTCTCCTCACAGGTCATGTGTATTAGATTTTGGTACCTCTTCTTATATGACAGGTATAAAAGATCAATTTGTTTCTTTAAAATTTTCTGACAAGTTTACATTGGTCCGCATTGCTGATGGTACATACTCTCCAGTTCTTGGTGATGGAGTAGTCCATGCTACTTCATCATTGATCCTTACTGACGTCTTATATCTTCCAAAATTTCTTGTCAGTTTACTATCTATCAATCAGTACACCAAACATAACTGTAAAGTAACATTCTTTCCTTCTTATTGTGCTTTTCAGGACCTAGCAACTGAGATGACGATTGGTTCGGGGCATGAGAGAGGATGCATGTACTATTTGGACGATAATAGGCCCGTTATTAGTCTTGTTGCAGAAAAATCTGATCATCCTTTACTATGACATCAACGCCTTGGTCATCCCTCGTTATCGAAGTTTAGATTTGTCATTTCTATCCAATCTTCTGATTCTTCTTTAGGTTGTGAGTCTTGTGAACTGGGTAAGCACCATCGTGCTACCTATCCGAGTCATATTGATAAACGCAATAGTTCTGCGTTTGAGTTAGTCCATTCTGATGTTTGAGGTCCTTGTCGTATACCTTCAGTGAAAGGTTACAGATATTTCTTTGTCTTTATTGATGACTTCTCTCGCGTGACTTGATTTTATCTATTAAAAGAGAGATCTGAGGTTTCGATTGTTTTTGAAATATTTTACAAAGAAATTAAAAACCAATTTTCCACCTCTATTCGTATCATTCGTATCGATAATGCGTTGGATACATGAAAGATGACATCTCTCGTTTTTGTGCAAATATTGATATTATCCATTAAACTTCATGTTCTCACACTTCACAACAAAATGGAGTTGTTGAGAGGAAGCATAGACACATTTTAGATGTTGTTAAAACCCAGATGATACATATGCATGTTCCAAAGTATTTGTGGTCTGATGCTGTTCTCAGTGCATGTTTCCTGATCAATATGATGCTCTCCTGTTCTTAATGGTACAATACCGTTCACCTGCCTTTTTCCTGTGGTTCCCCGTATTTTTAGCTGTACTTGTTTTGTTCAGGATTTGTCTTCAGGACTGGATAAAATGTCTCCACGGTCTATTATGTGTCTTTGTAGGCTACTCGTGTACTCAAAAAGGTTATCGTTGTTATAACTCATCCACCAGAAGATATCTTGTGTCTGCAGATGTAACATTTTTTGAGTTTGTTCCATATTTCTCCTCGACTGGTTCATCTCCATTTGTCAATCCATCTGTGCCTATTCCGTCTATTGCTCCTACTATTGTTCCATTACCTGCTTCTGTTCTTTCTGCTAATGGATCTTCTCCAGGACTACAAAATGCCTCTATTGTGCCATCTGCAACACCGCCAATACTGACGTATTTTTGCCGTCCAAAAGTTTTTCCCTCTGTTTCAACCGAACAATTATTTCCCGTTGCAGGTCTGTCTCATTCTAATATTTCCATTTCCTCTGATTTGGACATTTCAATTGCTCATCGGAAAGGTAAACGGTCTTGTACTAATCATCCTATATCTGATTTTGTTTCTTATGACCGTCTTACTCCCTCTTCTCGTCAGTTTGCTTTGTCCTTATCCTCTATATCTTTACCCAAGTCCTATGAGGAGGTCGTGTTAGTTCCTGCTTGGAAACTAGCCATGGATGAAGAAATGGACGCACTTGTTTCTAGAAGGACTTGGGATCTTGTATCTTTTCCGACGGGTGCTACTGTGGTTGGCTGTCGGTGGGTTTATACCTTGAAGTATCGCACAGATTGATCGATATAAAGCTCATCTTGTTGCTAAGGATTATACTCAAACCTATGGGGTTGACTATCTTGTGACGTTCTCTCCCGTTGCCCATCTCAATTCCATTCGTCTATTTTTATCTATGGCTGTTAATCTGGACTGGACAATGTTTCAGCTAGATGTTAAAAATACCTTCCTGTATGATAACTTGCAGGAAGAAGTCTATATGGAGCAACCTCTAGGGTATGCTGCTAAGGGGGAGAATACTGTCTGCAAGCATAAAGGCGATTTATGGTCTCAAACAAAGTCCACGGGCATGGTTTGAGAAATTTAGTACTGCTATATCTGGTGTCGGTTTCAAATGATGTTGGTCTGATCACTCCGTCTTTATCCGGCGCACTACATCTGGTTTGGTGATTCTGACAGCATATGTTGATAACATCTTGCTAATTGAGAGTGACCTTGCTGCCTTAGTAGAGGCTAATGAGTACCTTTCATGTCACTTTGTCACCAAAGATATGGGAAAACCCAAATACTTTCTTGGGATTGAGATTGCATATCAAAAGGACCGTTTGCTTTTATCTCAAAGAAAATATATATTGGACTTATTAGAAGAGATGTGCCTTTTGGGGTGTAAGCCAGCAAACACTCCCATGGAGGTGAATGTGGATTTGTGGCGTGATAAAGTCCTCTCCTAGATGATGCGGGCTGATATAGGAGATTGATTGGCAAGTTGATCTATTTTACTGTGACCAGACCTGATATTATCTTTGCAGTGGGAGTACTGAGCAGGTTTATGCATAAACCTAGAGAGGTTCACTGGATTGCTGCTCTGAGAATTTAGCTTATGTTAAAAGTTGTCCAGAAAAAGGATTACTGTATAAGAAACATGGACATTTACACATCTCGTCTATTCTAATGCTGGGTATGCGGGGGATATTGGAGATAGAAACACTTCTGGATTTTTTACCTTTATTGGAGGAAATCTGGTTACTTGGAGGAGCAAGAAATAAAATATAGTATCTCGATCTAGTGCAGAGGCAGAATACAGAGCTATGGCTTATACTGTTTGTGAGATGATATGGTTACAGAAGCTATTGATCGAGATTGGTTTTACTCAGCCTGGATTTATGCCTATGCATTGTGATAATCAATCTACTATCCATATTGCAAAGAATCCAGTGTTTCATGAGAGAACTAAGCACACTGAAGTTGATTGTAATTTTGTCAGAGATGCTTGGGAAAAGAAAGTGATCTCTCTTTAGTTCACTCCGTCTTCAGACCAGTTAGCTGACATTCTCACTAAAGCTACTTCATCTAAGGTGTTTTCCATTCTGTGTAACAAGCTGGGCATGATTAATATATATGCTCCAGCTTGAGGGGGAGAGTTAGAATTAAGTATTGGGTTATTCGGTTAATCATGATTTACCATTTCAACATATTTCATACATTTGCTATTTCTACTCGTTTCAACATATTTCATACATTTGCTATTTCTACTCTGGTGCTGCAACTTTTCTCCCTCTTCAACAGATAAACAAAACTATTATATCTTCTTAAAAGTTCATTAAACACCCAATTTCGACTATCACAACTCACAAGTATCAGATGGCAGGAAGCAAGTTGCACTATAGTTATTTTAGGAAGTAATCACCACGATATTTGAGTGTCTGCTACATTATTTATTAACCGTTGACAATAATTTGTACTTTATGCATATTTATGAGAATTGCAATCAGCTGCGTAATATGTGGACTGTTATCTTGTTGAAGTGAGCTTGCAGTGCTAAAAACATGATCTTTATATTAGATGGCTACAAAACCAGAGATGTTTGCCCGTCCATAAGTTGGAAATGAAGAAATGTCCAGGAAATGAATGTAGTTGAAAATTAAAATGAGAGAGTAAGATGGATGATACCTATATGCTATAGGATAATGAGAAGGTGTGCATTTTTGACAACTAGAAATGGCTTCATTTTAAGGCTGAAACGTAGGAGAACCAACTCCAATGGTTTGTGCATATCCAATGAGTATTAACGAATAGGCAAGTTAGGAGGAGCAGTATGATTGTAGATAATGTTGCAATGAGAATGAGCATCAAGACCTAAATGAAAATTGCCTTAGATTGATGACAAGTAGACTTCAGTCATTTATTTAATAATGTGCAAGTGATAAAGCTATTGCTCTTGTGGAGGGTAGTATCAGGTCTAAGTAAGCTACCATGTGGGAGTCCAGTGTGTAGATAACAGGAAATTATTGTGAACTCAGAAAATATAGCGACATAATGATTTGTTGTGTTCTGTGTTGATCGCTGACTATATTGATGCTCATACAGTGTGCCTGGGGAGTGAAAACCGTATTACTTATGCTGATGCTGGAGAGTGAATTGAATACTGCAAGTTTTTAGTTTTTTTGTTTCCTACTTTGGTTTAGCAATAACAGAACTCATGTAAGAACGAACTTAAGTTACACTGAAGTTTGATATGGCGCCTTAATCTTTAACTAAATGCATCCAATCTAAATTTTCAGGGACGAATTCGAGTTTTGGCGTTGATTAAAGAATTGTTTTCACTTTCTAGTTCGGTTGCATCAGCAGTGCACAAAGCAAACTTGCTGAAATTATTTGAGGCAGAGATCAACAACAGAGATGATATGCTCACTACTTTAAGTGCTCTCGAGCTCTTATATGAGGTGAACTATCTCATGGAGTTTCTGTCATTTTCTTTACAATTTAAGTTAAACTATTGAATTGACTAAAAGTTACATACATGCTTCTCTGCAGCCTTCATGTCCAGCCTTCATTTCCCCCCTTCTCATTCTTATTTTTTTGATATACTTGGGATCTACTGTAACTCATTGATTGCAACATTTATGTGTTAGTTGATGGTCAAATTTGTTTTCTTTTTACAGTGTAGACACAGACTGCATGCAAGTCTGCACATGCATGTTCATCAATGTCCAGGAAAAATAGTTCCAATTTTTTAATGGGAAAACATTTGATTATAAAGGTCCGGAAATGTTAGCACTTTTCATAGAATTTACTATAGAGCTTTGCAAAGTCAGCTAAATGTAGCTTAAGGTTGTCTAAATTGTGGTAACAAGACAGTAAAGCTAGCAGTCAAGTTGATGTTTGCTATGTGTTTACAGCCAGTTATATTATCCCATTCGTACAATGAAAGAAACCTAGACTTCCTCATTGATTTGATTTAGGAGATTGTATTGGTTTTTTTCATGGTTGGTCTGGATAGTCTTTAATATTTACTTGTTTTTGGAGCAATACAAACTTTGGTTGGTAGAGAGCTCATTTTCTTTGGTTGGCTTACAGATTCAGTTCTGGATGCTGAAAGGTTCTGAGAAATGTTGTCGCTTAAGCGTAAGAGAAGTGGGTGATAACAGAAGTAATTTTTTATTAAATCGTTTTTAGGAGATTGTTGATTGTGTTACTTTCATAGGTGGATTGGATAGTTTTAGAATGTATTCCTTTTTGGAATTTTGGTACTCATGATTTTGAATGGGGGGTACTTGCTTTTGTCAAGAACTCATGCGTTAACTGTTGGCT